AGATGTATATTTGTAGTTTGGACCAATTTATTAAAGAATATTTGGTCATTGAATTAAATGAAAATTATCAAATTTATACGAAATATAATGAAAACATTAAACAAATCTACAATATTGTTTCGCTAAAGGTCTTTAACATTTTCAAGAATTTTAGAAAAACAATTGTAGATTTGTTTAATGTTTTTATTACATTTTGTGATACTGTGTTTTACTTCAATTATTATGAACAGATTCCATAAAGTAGGGGTTTAAACCATAAACATAATATTGGATTAATTATTTATATTTAAAAATTATAAATGATTTACAAAGATGACCAAACATCTATTATTACAGTTTAAATTCAAAACTCCAAATAAAATTTGGAACTCTGGAAAAAAATTAAATGAAAAAGTAATAATTATAAGTTGTTAAAATTTTTTAAAAATTTAGTTATAAAAATCATAAAAACTATTACGGGATTCCACTGAACATAATAACTAAACATAATCTCGCTCTACATTTTGTACAACTCATAGTTGTTTATCCTTTACAACAGTTTAGGCATCGTCCTTTGGTTATAAAAGTTAGAAAGTGTCCGAAAAGATCTTTTTTAACATCTTCTTCAGGTATACTCTGGACGTGACTACGAACCTTCTTTTTCTAAATTCCTTTAGACCCATACCATCTTCTTCGTCTTCCAGTAAATTATTATCTCTGCAATATAAAAGCCAAGCGTTGTTGACACGTGTAGGTATTGAGTATTTGGGAAAAAATTGAAAGATACCACATGTGGCTTTTAAAAGATGTTCGATAAAGCGCAACTATCATATCTGCCAAATATACGCCACCATTATGTGCATTGTCATGCTTGATAATTGACGGAAAGGGTTTCCTTTTGACGGAAGGGTCAATTTTCTTTTTAGTTTCTTTAGAGAATCTTTTAATATTAGACGTAGGATAAGCACTAACATACTAACTGCATACATGAATGGCCTTGTTATCAAACCACTTTACAATGCAAGTTCTTTTTTCGTTATCCACTTTCTGCTGAAAAGATCCTCTTCCTTTTTTTTTAATTCCCCATCTGTTTAAAAATCTCCACCTTGTAGACGATCTGCTCTCAATTTTCCAAGAGATAGAATTCCTTTTTCGCGTCTTAAGTAGTGTACTAATCTAGGGGAGCAGAAAAAATTATCACAAAGCATAATATACCAAATGTTTTTATCACTTTTTTGTTAATCTTCCAATGGGCAAAGTATCTAATAAGAAGCAATTAGTATTAGTCCGTATACCGGGTAATGTATCCAAAAAGATACTCATTCCATTTTCGTCAGTACCTGCCAGTGTATATCCAAGGACACAAACTAGGTTGGCGCTTACCTGGCAATGTATCTTCAGAGATACTACTTTTCAAAGTGATCCTATCTGTTTATTTATAGACAAATCATGTATATTATTTTATACAATTATATGTTGAAGACCTAATTAACTATAATTATAGTTTACCAATCCATACAATAGCTAATAACATATAAAAAAAAATAATTTACTTTCCGAATGACACAAACTAGCGGCTTCTTTGGAAGCAATTTTGATCATGTCTACATAAAACACTCTTTGATTGGTTCAAATCTCTGTGTATGACATTCAAATTCATTTATTGGTTAGCCGAATGTTATAGGGAGGGGGTACTTTTAAAATCTCGAGGCAAACTTACGTTTATGTAGAGGAAGTACATTTTAATAAGTAACGTATCCTGGGGTATACACCGTCAAGTTAAGGGTTAATTTATTTATCCCTGAGGCTAAATATTTAAACTATTGAACTTGCTCTATTATTAATGTTAGACACATTTAGTAAATTTCATATAATTCTTTACGACTTAGACTATCCCAGAAGTTAAATGCATATTGCGTTTTCATCAAAATTGAGTTTTCATACAAACTAAACGTTTAAAAAAGAAATATGATTTTTACTTATAAACAATTTTAATAACTTCTATGTTTTCTAAAATACAGACTTGTACGCACCATAGGATAGCTATTAACTCACATTTAAAAAAAATACCTTCTATGACCAATAGGAACGAAGTTAAGGACTATTTCTAGACTAGATCATATCTCCATTGTTTATTAAGAGGTAAACTTGGCACAAATTTTAAATGAAAATCTAAACTTTATCTTGAAACTTATAGCTATAAAATTCATCAAATTTTTCGAAACTGACAGCCCCTCGGAACAAAGAAACTTTCGAAAGATCGACATAGGAAAGTGGAATGGATAACTGTTTCAGCTCCGTTTTTTTTTTTCGAGATCGGAACTTCAAATAATTAAAGCACGTATGAAAAATTTACATTATCTCGGCTTCCATTGTAGCTAGAAGCCTCTTTTTTATCTGTGGTAGCTCGTTGAAATATATGAATAACCACATAGTTTTTGCCGGGAAATATGGGAAACCTCCAATAAATTGAGTTCATTTGAAATTCACCGTAAAAACTTACTTTTTTTAAATTTGGTTGGAATAGTCTCTGGCATTAATTATTTATAAATAAAGACGACATAATCTTGAACCATCCCCCTTCCCCCCCTCCGTAAATCTCGGAAAGTCAACATATATTTTTTTTTCATTTTATATCAATGATTTAATAATACTTATGTATTTTATAAAATAAATTTCATGTGATTTTTACACAGTATATTATATATGTGTATAGGTATATGTACAGTACGATGACGGTAAACACATTTATTTATGTTTTTTGATCTAAATATCTCCAAATCTCCAAAGATCACAGTGTATACCGTCCTCGTGTCCCTACATTTTATATGTATTTATGTGAATAGGAGAAAGGTCATCTATATGATAGAAAACCGGTAATATATCTTAGTATGCGTAAAAAAGGCAGGATGAGTAGCAGCTGCAACGCTCCAAAATTTTGTCAAAATAGTCCCTAACTTCGTTCCTATTGGTAATAGGCTTTTTTAATGTTAATTTTTTTTTTACCAGCTATCCAATTGTGTACGTAGAAGTTTTTACAATTGTTTATAAGTGAAAAACATTCTCTTTTCAAATGTTTATTTTGTAAATAAGTTCGTTGAAAACGCAATATAGGTACATTTAACTTCTGAGATAGTTCACATCTTAAAGATTCTCATGAAATTTGCTAAATGTGTCTAGCACCATTGATAGAGCAAGTTCAATAGTTTAAATATTGAGCCCAAGGGATAAATAAATTAAATAACTTTTAAACTATTTGACCGATCGTGGAGGGGGAGGGATTTCGCACAAATTTAAAAGACGGGAATTCCTCGATGTTCAAATGATGTAACATTTTATTTTGTTATTATAAAAATTAATAAAATTTATAAATTAGTTAGTGCAAAAAAGTTACTTTTTGCAAATATCTCTGTAATTTATTTACCAATTATAATTTAAAAAACACGAAAATAAAGATATTCTTGATATAAAAAAATGGTATAAATATTGTTTATGTAAAATACAAGGGAACAAAATAACAAACAAAAAATGAAATTGTGGCCATAAATTATTGTTTAAAAATAACGCAAGGTAAAAATACGAGTACTTTTTCATCTATTGGTCATCTAGTAACCCCCACCTATGTCTTAAAAGCTTCAGATATCTTCGAAAAATTTTTCGACCATATTTTTTAACCAGACTGGGCTACCACGTAATTGTCGGTGCTAGACATGAAAGTATAATATATATTCTGGATGTAATAATATGCCTAAGGAGAGTAGACGGAGATACAAACCATTACCTAGAGAGAGCAAAAATCAGGTTAAGGATATTATCACCTAAATTTACAATGAATGAAACATTGGGACAGTGGAATACCGAGAAAATACAAAATAAAGAAATCCGAGAAAATTACTCACATGAAATCAAACAATACCTAAATATAGTAGACCAGAGTAATGATATTGAAAGGCTGTGACAAGAAATAGAAAAATCTATTACAGAGACTGCGGAATGTGGAAAAGACAGTCACCAATGTAAAGAGGAAACTTTTGATAAATTAGAGATAGAGGCAAAAAAAAACGATCTACGGTTAACGAAGAGAAAACCAAATATATGTGCAATAATAAACAAAAAAAGACGTGACAGAATATGGTAAAATGTAACAATAGACCCATGTAAGTTTGAAAAAGTTTAAATTTCTTGGAGCGACAATCAAGGCAGATAACGCTATCACCGAAAAGATAAAAGATATAATTTAGGCAGCAAACAGATGTATATATAGCCTTCACAGCACTAGGAACTTTAATAACTTTTTCTTAGCCTTCTCTCACTCATTTTTGAACATGGCATCTCTAACTCCTAACGATCTCTATTCGGAGCAACATACTTTCAATTTGTTTCGGCTATTCTTTTTACGTCGTCTTCTTATCTTATATGTGATCTTCTTCGAGATCTTCTCTCTTGGTTTCCCCAAGAACAAGAACATCAAAAATCAGAATATAAAATAGTGATTAGACCGGTGTCTTGTAAGGGTGAAAGACGTGGAAGCTGACAAAAGTAATCTAAAGAAAACTAAAGATGTTTTAAGAGAAAAATTCTCAGAAGAATCTTTGGAACTTATCACGACACGAATAAGTCTTAGATGGACTCCTTAATAACCGCCTTACCAAGTTAAGAGATGAAGCCCTAATAGGAAGGAGGCCCTTAGAACGTCTACGAATGGGATGGAGAGATAACATATGATCAGATTGAAGAACAATGGGGCTACCCACTGACCCAACCATCATGGACGATCATTTAAGATAGAAGCTAGTTGTGCGGTTAGCCAAGACCCACCCCGGCCTATAATGTTACGAGACAAAGAAAATATATTTTAACTCAACAGCAATGAAACAAACGCTTACATTTATCTTTTAAAATGTATTCATGTTTAAAATAATTTATTTACAACAACTAAATCACATAAAATAACATTTAAAACGTGTAAGAGCCATTGTGTATTTATAATGTTATATTAGATAAACAATAATCAGACTTACTTTTCCATTTCATCGTCATTCAATAGTGCTTGTCTTAATCTGGAAATCGTCTGAATGAGGTATTTAGGACTTTGTCGTTCTAGGTAGAGCGGAGAATAGAGCCCGGGGTAACTGGAATCATAAAAATTATATGTTATTAGGCTGCAATTGTTTTTTGTATAATCGTGTTAATATTTATACAAATACTAGCAGAAAAGCCTCTAAAACAAAACTCTTTCAATAAATAATTTCGATAGTTTTTTTTAGTTAAATTTTGTATTTTGAAATGAAGTTATTGTCAAAACCACAATAGAGGGACCTAAATTAAAATATATTGGCTGAAGCCAACTTTTGTAGTAATTCTACAAAAAATACAACGCCAGCTGCTGCCAAGATCATTTCCTCTTTCTCTCTGTCTCTCTCTCTCTCTCTCTCTCCTCTCCTCTCTCTCTCTCTCTCCTCTCTCTCTCTCTCTCTCTCTCTCTCTCTGTCTCTCTCTCTCTCTCTCCCTCTCTCTTTCTCTCTCTCTTTCTCTCTCTCTCTCTCTCTCATTAGTCCTGACCTCCCGGAGGGAGCGTGGAGGTCATCGTAATGTTGTGTATTGTACGTGGCTACAAAGATCTCTACGTCTGAAAATTTCTTTTATCTCATGCATAGGTCTTTTTTGTATTCTTGCAATTTGGCCGATCCATCTTGTTGGGGATCTTCCTCGTGATCTTCGGTATTCTACCTTTCCTTGGATAATGTGACATGTGACATATTGAACAAAAAATGCGTATCCAAAGGCGTATCATTAGGCGGTCTAGACGAGTACATACGAGTACAAACAAACAAAGATACTATCGTAAAAATTATTTGAAAACTATTTTAGCAAACTATTTTGAATTTTTGTTCCTGATAAATGGCTTTAGTAGACTAGCAGACTAGTTTTTGTATGTTTTTTAAAGTTGACCGCATTTTAATTATTATTGCAGATTCATTGTCAAAATTGTCTTTACCTAATATTATTTTTATAGATATATAAATTTTGTTTTGTTCTTTTTATTCTTTTAATATTTTATTGTTTTTTTTTTACTTTTTTTTATTATTTTGAATTGTATATAAAAATATATGGTACCACTACCTTGCCTGTTGTTGTGCGCTTATTGTAGCAGATTGTAGAATTATAGAGCTGGTTATAAGAAACAAGAATGCAATTCCGCTGCTTCCGTTTACTCCAGGTGTCTTCATATTGCTGAAACAAGGAGATTTGTATTAGGACAACAAGAATAATTTAATATATAGGGTCTTTGATTAAGCGCTTCCTTCATTTACTTAAAAGGACTTTGGGTGCCATAATTATGATTATGGCATCATAACTTGTGGCCTGATAAAACATGCCAAATTTGACCGATTTATCTTGGTGTTAAAAGTCATTGTGAGTTGTGGTTTATTTACCTGACCTACTACTTAAGAAAATCTTATAAAAAACCTTTAACGGTGCATTATGTCGGTGACCAGTTCATATTACTTGAGATAACTCTGCAGAAGAGAAATTGCTTATGCAGAATGTCCAATATAACACGAGCTGTGTTGCTTGTAGCGCCATCTTATTAAAACCCACATATAGTTGTTGTTGATATATATATATATATATATATATATATATATATATATATATATATATATATATATATATATATATATATAACACTGTTTTTGATGGGTTGGAGTCAATAAAAGGGGCTATTTGTTGACTATTTTTTACTCGAGCTTTCAATTGTGATTACAATTTTTATCAAGAGCTTCTAAAAATACAAAATATCTTACAAAGTTGAACTAGAAATAAATAATGTTGTTGTTAACTCACCAAATAAAATTAGTTATTTATATAAAACTGCTGCTAACATTATTACAAAAAATATTATTAAAAAAATGTTCTATTCTAATAAATGTTTCTCTGACAAATTTAGATAAAGTTTCTTAACAAAAAACAATTGGATTTATAAACAAAAATTGAATAGCTACAATTCAGCCTAAATGACGTAAATAACAACTTAAAAATTTTTATTTTTGACATATTGTCAAAAATAAAATTTTTGTTTAAAACAAAAATTTTATTTTTGACAATATGTCAAAAATAAAAATTTTTAAGTTGTTATTTACGTCATTTAGGCTGAATTGTAGCTATTCAATTTTTGTTTATAAATCCAATTGTTTTTTGTTAAGAAACTTTATCTAAATTTGTCAGAGAAACATTTATTAGAATAGAACATTTTTTTAATAATATTTTTTGTAATAATGTTAGCAGCAGTTTTATATAAATAACTAATTTTATTTGGTGAGTTAACAACAACATTATTTATTTCTAGTTCAACTTTGTAAGATATTTTGTATTTTTAGAAGCTCTTGATAAAAATTGTAATCACAATTGAAAGCTCGAGTAAAAAATAGTCAACAAATAGCCCCTTTTATTGACTCCAACCCATCAAAAACAGTGTTATATTTTTTCCAAACGAGTCACAAGTACTTCTTTTTTCTTACTCTTATATATATATATATATATAATATATATATATATATATATATATTGTTACGATATGTAAAATCAAGAAAAATATTGGTTTGCTTAAAATATTTCAAAGTTCCAAAAAAATTAAAATAATTCAGATAAGTAGGATAATAACCAACAAACATTTCGAAGAAAGAAAGTCTTTAAATTTTTGGATTACCTGTATTGAACAAAACGTAAGATATGCATAAATTATTTTCTTTGTTCTAATATACTTGAGTGACCCGCATAATTTTAAGTGAAATCCATAGACAATTGAAGCGGTTTTTCCAAATAAATGTTGTGCAGTAATTAGGACAATGGAATAGATTTTAGAAAGATATGTTTTTGTTAGTTCTTAGGAATTGGTAGGAAAAGATTATTTTGTAAAATAGTTTTAGGAAATTTTATAATTGTAGGTAAAAATTTGTGTGTTATCGAAATGAAGAAAGGGGAGATGTATGAAGCGTTTTGATTGGATGAGATTGAAAAAGGTGGGATGATTGGTTTAAGAATAAGACTTTAGTTAGTTTTTTAAATAGAAAAGATAGTCAGTTGGTTTTCCAAGTGTGTAAGACGAACAGTCATTGTTCTCTGGTGGTTCCCGAGAGATAGCAAGCAGTAGTGTTGAATGTTAGTGTGTTTTTGTGGAGGTAGTGTATCTGAGAGAAGATGAAGCAGCAAAATATTGTAAGTCATATTTTTCTACTCATATTCCAAGAGTCACTGTTTAGGCCAACGAGAGATTCAGTTTATCGAGAGGAGAAAGGCTATCATAATTTGAATGATTCGTGCGGATCATTAAGGACGATATACTTGCAACAATTTGTTGTAAGATTGCTGATTACCTAGGGAGCTGCTAAGAATAGATAATATAGGCTACCAGGAACAAGGATTTGGAACACTCATCATCAGAGAGAGATCGTTTTGTTTTTCTGCAGTTTTTCTTTTATTGATAACACAATTTTTACAATTACTTTAGAAAAGATATAAATTTTTGATTAGGAGATTTAGAATAATAATTGGGATTTTGAGATTTTAACTAATATTGTTTATACCATTAATTTTGAAGGTTCACGTACGTAGAACAAAATTTTAAAAATCATTATATGAGATATTGTTTATTGAAAACATTTGAGTGTGAATTTTATTTCAATATTTTTAGTTCAATATATAGTGTTATATAATATGTGTTTTTTATTATTCCGGCATTCTTTGGACCCTACCTTTCACATGTGAAGCATAGATATTGAAGCACGAATTTAACTCTGAGATAAGAGAATTAAAAAGTGTGATAGAGTCATAATCATATCATTTAAATAATTTTTAATTAATTTTGCTTGGCGCACCAAGACTTTAAATATCGCAATAATAATAATATATATATATATATATATATATATATATATATATATATATATATATATGTATATATATATATATATATATATATATATATATATGTACATATATATATATATATATATACATATATATATATATATATATATATATATATATGCATATATATATATATATATATATAAATAGAGTGTGTGTAACGACGCTAAGAATACAATTCTTTGGAGGGTAACTTTCGGGAAAGCGTCAAAAGCGGCCTTTAGCCAACATATTAAGAATACTGGACACACTGCTAACTATGAAAATGTGCAAGTACTAAAGAGGGTTGACAACCAATTTAAGAGAAACTTCATAGAAATGTGCTACATCCATAACTGCAGCTCTCCTATGAACTGTAAGAAAGATGTTGAAAACTTAAGTTGTATTTATTCCTTTCTACTTCAACAGGACTTGACAAGAAGTAACAAACTAGAAAATGTGGGGAACTTATCATGACATGCATAGATTACCTACCTGTGCTTTAGAGGGGACTTCATTTCCTTGCTTATTATGTTGCCTAGGGCTCTTTCTTTTCGTATCCATGTGGTTGTGATGTGCAAAAGTGAAAATTATAACCTAGTTACATATGACACCCGGATGTTGACAGAAATATGTCATCAAAAAAGAAGATTAATTCTTCTTTTCTATTTGTGGTTTTTGTAGGTTGTAAATTTTTAGATTTTTTGTTGTGTTTGTATTTGAAAAACTACCCTGTTGTTTGTAATGTTTTTATTCAAAATTTTAAATGTATTTTTTAATATTTTTAACATGTTTGTGACAGTGTTTTTTACAACTAGGACCAACTGAACATTTTCAATGTAGGTTTTTAAATGTTGATTTCCACCACTGTACTATAATAGGTTTTCCATTTAGGTGCTGATGAAGGTGACAACATATCACCGAAAATTTCACATATAGAATAAAGTTCTACACCAAGCTGGCTTATACCATCTCTAGCTGATCCTTGTTTTGACGCTTTCCCGAAAGTTACCCTCCAAAGTATATATATATATATATATATAATATATATATATATATATATATATATTATATATATATATATATATATATATATTGTAAAGACTACGACCGTCAATTAATATAAATAAATTATTCAACTGGTGAATTCAGAGGTTAATCGGTCATTAAGGTTGGCAAATAAAAAACAGAAGTCAACTACTTCATAAGTTTATAGAAAACGTTTCGCTTTATACTTCTAAAGCTTCATCAGTTCTCTAAAATACAAAGATGACATAGAGTTTATAAGAAATACAGATATAATAATTTATTACTTACAACTCAATATGTAGTATTAAAAATGTTAATAAATATGTACTTAAGTTTACTCATTAATATAGAACTAACTTAAAAAAAAACCAGAAACAAAGAACACAAAAACTTTGCAAAAAATAATCTCATTCGCAGAAACGAAGATTTAACAAAATTTTAAAACGTACATTAGGCTTCATTTAGAGATCGTTCTCCAATGAAGACAAACAAACACTGATTTATTGCAATCTCTGCAAACGACGTGACGCGGTACCGAAAATTTTAAGGGCCATATGTGCAACTAATTCCAAGGTTTGAGACAATTATGAACTTCTACGGGGGTCATTGAAGGATTACTTGGACGGGTGGATTTGTATGAACGGAAATATATATATATATATATATATATATATATATATATATATATATATATATATATATATACATATTGTTATGATATGTAAAATCGAGAAAAATATTGGTTTGATTAAAATATTTCAAAGTTCAAAAACATTAAAATAATTCAGATAAGTAGGATAATAACCAACAAACATTTCGAAGAAGAAAAGTTTTTAAAATTTTTGGATTACCTGTATTAAACAAAATGTAATCTATGCATAAATTATTTCCTTTGTTATACTATACTTGAGTGACCCGCATAATTTTAAGTGAAATCCAAAGAACAATTGAACCGGGTTTTTCCAAATACATTAACGCAGTGATTAAAGATAATAGAAGAGATTTGAGAAAGAGGTTTTTGTTAGTTTTTAAGAATTGTAGAAAAATATTATTTGTAAATAAGTTTTAGGAAATTTTATAATTATAGGTAAAAATGTTGTTTGTTATCGAAATGAAAAAATGGGGAAATTGTGACGAGTTTTGATTGGCGGAGATTGAAAAAGGTGGGATAGGTATGTAGGAATGAAAGTTTAGCTAGATTTCGGAGTGAGAAAAGATAGTCAGTTGGTTTCCAAGGGTGCAAGGCGAACGGCCGTTGTTCTCGGGTAGTTTCCCAGAGGTAGGAAGCAGT